GACGAGAGGGGGTGTAGGGCTGAAAGAGGTCAGAGACGTATGCAGGGGCTAGGGAGTGGAGAGATGTGTAGGTTAGCAGGAGGAGTTTGTACTGGATGCGTGACTTGACCGGGAGCCAGTGAAGGTGGAGGAGGATGGGGGTGATGTGTTGCCAGGGCTTGGTGCGGGTGAGGAGCCTGGCTGCAGAGTTCTGGACGTACTGGAGCCTGTCCAGGGCTTTGCAGGTGACCCCGAACAGAACTCCATTGCAGTAGTCCAGGCGTGAGGAGATGAAGGTATGTATTAATGTTTCTGCAACGGGGTCGGGGAGAGAGGGCCGGAGTCTGGAGATGTTTCGAAGGTGAAAAAAAGCAGTTTTGACAGTAGACCTGATGTGGGAGTTGAAGGTGAGGCTAGAGTCCAGAGTGACGCCCAGGCTGGATGGAGCAGCCATCGACGGTGAGGAGCAGATCTCCAACCTCCCGGAGCAGTGTTTTTGGGGCCACAACCATGAGCTCTGTTTTGTTTTTGTTGAATTTCAGTAGGTTTGTTGACATCCAGGTTTGGATGTTGCGGAGGCAGTTGACTAGTGACAGCTGGGATGATGGATTGGTACTGATGTAGAGTTGGGTGTCGTCGGCATAGGAGTGGAAGTTGAGACCATGTTGGCGGAGTATTTCACAGAGGGGGAGCATGTAGATGTTAAATAGAAGGTAGTCTGGAGGGGGCTTCACCGTGTGTCATCAGAGCTGTCAGAGTCGCAGTCAGAAGACTCATCTGAAAGACTTTGCAAGAAGCTGATGGTCTCTGCTCCAGTCAAAAGCTGCAGATAGCATCGTCTAGCATGAGTCTTCATTTCTCCGATGTCGTGCTGCTTTTTCCTAAACATGCTCTGGAGACCTTTCATCCCGTCTTCGCTCAGGCCCAATGGTGAATCTTAAATGTATAAGATAAAGACAATATGAGTTACTTCATCACCTATCACTGATGTGTAAAGTCATGCAAAGTAAAAATGTAATATATACTGTACTTTGCAGGCAGGACATCTTTTTCAGGTAATCACTGCGGGTTGAAAGGACCTTCCAGTGTTGGTTCATTTCTGTGACGAGAATCTTATTCTCCTCCTGTAGTCTCTTCACTGCTATGACAAGGTCGAATGCTCTTCTCTTTGTCCTGAGGTCGAAAGAGTCTGGAAAGCATTTATGAGAAAACATGAATGAATGTGTATGAAAGATCAACATTCAAAGAATCTATGAAGTCTTAAATAGATTTATATATCAGACATGAAGGTTTTCCACATTTGCTGTGAGCATTCAGCAGACTGGTGTACTTACCACTGTTTGGTAGCTGCCATGGCCAAGCTTTCTCCACAGACAGAATGGCTTCGAGGCACAGCGCTTCTGTGCTTGGAACCATTGAGTTGTATTTCTCAACTGTGGCTGTCAGGACCCCTTTCTCATCCCTGATCTTGCAGCGGATCCGGGAACGACCTTTGTTGCTGTCTGTGTCTTTGTAGAGACGCTGCGAACGTCTCTTGACACTTACTGTCAGCATTTCGATCTTGCTGGCCAAGGCAGCAGCATCCCTTGGGTTGTTTGTTGTTGCTTTTTAGAGGAAATAGGTGTATTAAGCACAGTAATTCACAATAACAGTGACATTTGATCAAATGTTTTAATATTATTTTATTACATATGCTTCATGAAAAATAAGTAATGCAAATGTCAATAGAGGGTTATCACTAA